CCCCAAAACCCCAAAACCCCAAAACCCCAAAACCCCAAAACCCCAAAACCCCTAATCAAGTGACTTGCTTGAAATGGAAATACACATTGATAAAATTATATACACTAATTTATTATTCCTGATATCAAGATGAGTTTCAAAATATATGAATTTATTCAGTTCCTACTAACAAGGGGTTATCCGAGCAGTTGTGGAATCATTCTGAACATGCTTGAACTGATGCATTAGCTTTGATTTCTGTAATAGGGAACGACGGTCATAAGACTTTTTCCTTTGAGAGCGAGTAAAAGTAGGACTTGTATATTTCCAATTATCAACCATCCTAAACCTTTACACAATGAAAGTACCCTAAGCTACTTTTAGATCCAGAGTTAGACCTGGCTATCTTAGTAATAATGTTCTTAAGTTGCTTCCTATTCTTCCTCTGGCTAATATCCCTTGTCTTGGCCCTCCTACACCAATGAGCTTAACTAAAGGCTTACTCTTTGTCATTAGCCACGAAGTTTTCGTAAGAAGTAAGTTCAGAATCAGTGATAGACTTAAGTTCTCTATCAAAACTCTTCCTCCAGTCCTTTCTGGACTGGGATTTCTTAATTTCGCCATACTGATATACCTGGAGTTCGTCAAAGTTGTATTTCCTTATAGAATGGGCCATCATTTTAGGATTCTTGATGACATTTTTGCATAAAACTACCTGTTTCTTCAGGTTATCATTATGCTTGCAGTATCTATTAATAATTTCATCATTCAGTTTCAGCTCATTTTTGAAATCTTTAGAAGTTTGCGAGAGCTTCGTGACTAGTTGTTGTATCTTATCCTTTAAGCACTTCTCCTTTATTTCATATTTTATATTTAGTAACTGGGTGTTGTGGGTATGTTCTTCCTTGAGTTTGGCAATTTCACCCTTCATTTCCTTTATAATGGTTTCAGAGTTCTCCCATTTATTTTAAAATTTCAGTGTATTGGTTTCTAAGGATATCAATTTCAGAGTGGAGCTGGTTTAACTCAGCCTGAGAGTCCTGGTATTTTATGTGTAAGGAATCTTTCTTCATAATTTTCGGTTTTTCAGTAGAAATTTTATTTATCCCTTGCTTATTTTGGGACATCTGAGTTCTGAGTCTCATCTGTATGAGCACCTGTTCCTGTTCTAAGGACATAAGGGACATTTTATGGTTAAGTTCCGTGTTGTTCATGTAGTCAAAATATAGCTCATGATAATTTTTATGAACAACATTAAATTCCTGATCATATCTCTCCCTAAAAATTTCCCAAAAAGCTTACTTAAGAATCTTGAGCTTCATATGATTTTGTGCTTGTGCCTCTTCGCTAACTTTATTTATACACACTTTGGAGGTGTTCCTTATGCTATAAAGATAAGCTATAATACTACTACCATTATCTTAAGTTGTTTTATATCTGCTTGCAAGTCCCTTCGCGCTCGGACTTCCTCTTGGTACTTCTTCTCCATATCGAACAACTTTAGCTTCAGGTCATTAATTTTTCTCGAGTAGGAAGTGGATCCTATTGTTTTAGATCAGTATTTTTCTACGAAATAGAACTGGTTTTTAAAAATATTCCATTTTTGTTAACTAATTTCTCACCTAAAACTTCTTGATCCTTCTGCTTTGCCTCGGCTCTTAAGCATTGAGGATATTGCTTATGCTTGAGATAATTAACGATCCTATCGGATTCAGTAGGCTCTTCTTTTGCTAAGGGTTTAGATACTATATTTTATTATTTTTATCATTACTTTGGATATGGACGTTAGTCTCGTGGATAGCTTCTTCACGAAGGTTCTCCCAGTATTCATCTATCTCAATTGTAGAAAATATTTTCTCAGACTCATTATCATCAGGCATATTATAAAGGTTCTCCATTTCCTTGGTCTCATCGAAGCCATTCACGAACAACTTTGACATGGTCTCTTCGACTGACTGCCTATTGGTTCCCTCTGAAAGAATTTTTAAGCACGTTTTGGAGGAATTCAATAGACCAAAGGGTGTTTAGAATGTGGAGAAGGGGAAAAGGAGGATTAGGAGACCGCGGAGGGTGTTTTAGAGCCCGGGAATGAGTTTTTTAGGGGGTTTAGGTATAAGGAGAGGTGTTTTAGGTGAAAAATGAGTTTTTAAAGATGATTTTGGTACCTTCTGACATTTTAATTCAACTTTATGGAATTATATTGGGGTTTTGGGGTTTTGGGGTTTTGGGGTTTTGGGG